ATTGAACACACACAACCAAAAACTCCGAAATCGGCTGTGAACATAATGAGTAAAGAGGGACCACCGTAGAAGATTAGCTGTGTGACTCAAAGTGTTGCATTCACACAACTAAGCCAACTGAATAACATTTATTTTCCCTGCAAACAGCAGCAGTAACAAGGATATTTTTGCAATGTGTTAACGGCACATTATTAAGGAGATAAATATGGTGGGAACGGGGACAACTTGTGAAAGATTAGTACAGGATGTGCGACAGTATGTTCGTGTTTGCATGATGATAATGACGGCGCAGTAATTTGCCCTCAGTTTGATACGTAACACGGAGCCGTTAATTATCTCTTTGTTATCAGTTTCTTTTATTGCTCAGCTGTGATTGCAGCTCCCGCTGTGCAACGCTTGGATGGGGAAGAGAGGAAATTTGACAACCTGCGAGGAGCTCCCTGGGAGAGCTAAGAGGAGGTGTGTATATGTGTGTGTGTTTTCCTTCTCTGTCTTTCCTTCCTTGTCAGATTTGAGGAATATTGTGATGTCTTTGGTTTTGAGGGTAAAAGAAATTTACAGAAAACACTTCATTTACCTCCTGCTGAGGTGCGACAATCATCTTGCGGTTTAACAGAGAAAACAGTTAATAGAAATGTAACTTAACCTGAGATAAATATGCCAAAAAACACTGTCAAATCAACCTTGTACATGCCATCATTAGTCGACTAAGCTGTTTCTGTTTTTTAAGCAAAACGCCAAATATTCGATGATTCCAGCTTCTCCAGTGTGAGGATTTGCTGCAGTTTTCTGTTTTATATCATTGTAAATTGAATATATTTGGACATTTTTGGACAAAACAAGACACCTGAAGACATCACTTTGGAATCATGGTAAACTGGGTTGATATTTAACTCCTTTAAAAACATTTCATAGAGAACGTAATTGAAAAATAACCTTTATTTACAGCCGTACATTTAATTTTTATTTATTTATTTTGCAGTGTATTCTGTTCAGATGAAATTTCCACCCTTGGTCATCTCCCTCCCTTCCTCCCTCTGCTCCATCTTTTAGCCCTTCCTTCCCACTGTTGTCAAGGGCAACTGCAGAAAAAGACCTGAATACAGTAACACTATCACCTGATCGGCGGGGAAATCCAGGAGGTGTGTGTGCACACCCGCTATTGTGCACGTGTACCACCTTTTCCATACCACGGGCCGACTGGTACGACCTGACGAAAACACACACAAATACAGGTGGAGGAGGGAGACTGAGAAGGGCACACACACACATCCATCTACACACACACACACACACACGTACACATGGTGTAAATGAAGTGACTGTTGGCAGGCTCACAGCTAATTCAGCATGAATATTTAATCAACTGTAAACAAATTACTATTGCACTGAGCGGTGCCAGTGTGTGTGCTGTGTCAGTGCATGTGTATATCTGTCTCTCTGCCCTTGTATCTGTGTCAGTGTGCAAATGTTGCTCTCCCCCTCCCTTATTAATGTGGATGTTTCTCTCCCTTCCTGATGGAGCTCTATCCATGTTTAGATGTGGACTTTTCCTTAACAACAACTCCACTGAGTGAGCTGAAGTCCGAGCACAAATCAGTCCACGGGTCAAGATTTAAGAGTGCAGATTCATAAGTGCAGAAACAAACTTTGAGAGCAAGTCTGGGCAGAAGGACTAAATTCATGTGTTATGACCTGCAAGAGGAATGTTGTGTCACTAGATTTGAGCCAGCAGCAGCAGCAGCAGGGCTTCCTCTGCACTGTGTATCTCTTGCATGCAAAATCAAACTATAAAAAGCCATGAGATTTGAATCCACCTACTCTCCGGTTTGGCCCATAAGCTGTTTTATTCATTCAAAAGAGATTTGTGGCCTGTGCTCACTTCAAACAAATCTCGTTTGTACTATTTTAAGAGGCCAAAAGAGGTAAAAGTACCCAGTATTTTACAAGCAATAGCAAAGAAATTTAACCTCCTGAGACCCAAACTTTTGTTTTATACGCATTTTTAATTTCTCCTAGCTATTTGGGATCAGTAGGACCTGATTAGTATAAAAAAGGAAAACACTGTCAATGATAATAAAGTCCTGATGTCTTCAAACAAGTACTTACTAAATAACAGTGTCTTAGTTTGTTACTGTTGCTAAAATTGGTCAAATTTGTTGCCATATCAAACTACAAACATTATTTATCATAAAGTTTTAATGATCAAATGTGGTCAGGTTTTGGACTTAGTCCACTTTTGTGTTGGGATCAGCTGTAGACTGACTTGACATGGATTAGTGTATTGAGCTCTTACTGCCACTAGATGGCACAAAAAAGTGTCCACAAACGAGGACAACAGGTCTAAAAATGTGTTAGTAAAATGTGATGTCCTCGTATGAAGACACAGGGTCTCAGGAGGATATGCTGATCCCCTATTTGCATAGGAGTTAACAAATGGTTACGTTTCACTTTCACTGTGCTAGGTGCCGCGCTGCTGCATCTCGGTATCTCCTCAGACAGAGTGCCAGAGCCTCTGTCTCTGGTGCTCTGAATAACGGAAGTACTGGATGGAGTATTCCAACAGTGCTCTGAATTTGCGATCATTGGCAGAGTGCACTCTGGATCTCTGTGTTGCTCTTTAAATGAAATGTTTTTTTTAATAATATGTTGGATTAATGTTAAGATCTTAATTGGTGAAAAAGAAAAAAGCTTAACAAATTTTATGACCAAACAATCATTTAGAGCCCCCCCTGCAATAACCCTTAGGACACCTTAGGGGCTGTGGATCCCCCGATGACAACTCAGGCCTTAAGTCGCAATGGGGGGCTGGAGGAGGGGCCAGGAATTGTATCAGAGGGGGGCATGCCCCTACGGTCTCACTGGTTGATAACTACAGAGGAAGAAGAATATAGTAGATATTCATCATTAATCCCAGAGGGGAAATTCTGTTGTTTTTTTTTTCATTTTGTTGTCATAGATACAGAGGCCCGAAATACACACACATGCACAAAAAAGACCTATACATGCAAATGGAGAGATGTCAGATTGAGGGGGCTGTCCATGAACAGGCACCCTGAGCAGTTGGGGGTTCAGTGCCTTGCTCAAGGGCACCCCAGCAGTGCCCAGGAGGTGAACTGGTACCTCTTCGGCTACCAGTCCACACTCCATATATGGTCTGGCTAGGGCCTAGAACTAGCGAAAACCAGCCACAGCTCAGCCCTGAGCAGAGTGACTGTCCTCTATTGACCAATCAACAGACTGCAGTGTTCACAGCTCCACCTTTTAGTACCTGATCTGTGTGCTAGGTACCCCAACAGAGGGGGGACCAACAAAAAAAGGCATCCTTTAATGCTGGCATGATACACAGCCAATTGCTGTTATAGTTTAACGGCACCCAGTGGTGTAAGGGGGAAACGCGGCGGGACATGGACGTAAGTTAAGCCATCGAAAGTCGGGCGGGAGGGGTGGTTGATGTGTCCGACAAACACTGACTTTCACCAGAGAGATTGGTGTTTGCATCCTGTAAGATTCTAAAGCCAAACCCTGTTCTTTTTTTCCTAAACCCAACCAAGTGTGTTTGTTGTTAAAGGAAAAAAAACAATGTGGTGCATTTATTTTGAAAGAGACTGTATGTCAATGTATCTTGAAAGAAGACAATACATGTAACAGACAGAAGTTGACACCATGTCCCAGAACGTCAACAAACAACGCACTCAGGGTACCTTGCACGTCGTATGTGGACGTGGAAAGCTTTGTTGATGCTGCTCACCCTACTGAATTTATCAATGCTTCTCCAGCAAAGTATAGATTTACTGTAGCAACTCCACCTCGTTGTCCGTCCAGACAAACATTCATGCCATTGCCATTTTGTTTGTTTATACGTCACCGCTTTGTAGAAGGAAGCGCATGTGCGTAGGCGCATGTTGTTTCATTACATACAAAGTCACACCACCAACTACTGGTCTAGCATGTGTACTACAGTGTTTTTGGTCATTTTTGCAGATCCTTGTGCATCCTTGTTATCAAAATGTTGCCGTCAGAACGTGGAACTTTTTTCAAAACGAAACTGAGAAACAAATCTGTTTTCAGCGGATCATTTTCGTGTTAACATGGTCTTAGGATGCATTCACACTGGTGCTATTTGGTCCGCTTTAAACGAACCATGGTCTGCTTCCACGGATAGTTTGGTTCGTTTGGAGTGGTGTGAACGCTCATTTGAATTCTGTTGCAGACCAAACGAGCGAAGCCTGGTCTGCTTGAAAACTGGGGGTCTCGGTTCACTTGCAAGTGAACTCTGGTGCGATTCGCTTACAGTGGGGAATGCAAACGGACTATCCAGCAAACCAAAGAGAGGAAGTGAACCAAAGTTCAGAGGTCAGCAGTCGTTTCGGGCAATACCGCCCCCAAAGGAGCAACTGTTGTAACCTTGTGACGTTGTCCAGGGGGTTTAGTCCGCTTTAAAAAGTGCAGTGTGAAAGTGAACCGAACCAAATGTAGGTGTGAAATTTTTCGGCACTCCCCGCCCAATTGAACCGAGTCCCAGACTATCCTGGTGCTAATGTGCCCTCAGATTCAATTTTCCACGTCCATTAATACACTGAGAGCCAGGGTTTTAACACCAGCATTTCTTGAGGTAGTACCTCGATAAAAAGAAACACTTTAATATGATATTAATCGATTTTAACTTTTCAAATCAATGCTAAGCAGCGCCGTAATCCAACACTCATCTTGTTAAGTGCTCAGAATTTTATTTATAAAAGTCTCCAAACTTCCTTGTCTCCTCTCTCAGTGTCAGCATCTTGTTGGTAACTGTTGTCTCTGTGTTTATATCAGGCCTGTGGTTTTCTCTCGCGCTCTCTCCCGCGCGCGCATGCGTGCGTGTGCGCGTTATTTGCTCTCCGTTTAACCTCGGAACAGCGACTGGAGGCGACTCAACACACGGCCGCTTTCAAATCTCTCTCTCTTTTTCTCTCTCCGTCTCTCTTCTCGCCCCTGCTCCCTCCTCCTCCTCCTCCTCCTCCTCCTCCTCCTCCTCCACCTCCCTCCCTCCTCTTCCTACCTGATTCAGATCCGCTCCGACGCTATGCGTATGACCGCGTCTCTCTCTGCAAGGCGAGCACCACCGGAGAGACCCGCACGCTGCTACCGCCGCCGCCGCTGACCGCGAGCACCTAAACGCCGGCTAACGAGCGACCCAGGCCGGGCAACAGGAGCGGGAGCCGCCGCCGCTGATAACCGTCCGGTGGAGGAGCAGGAGGACAAAATTAACGCGCGAAGGTAAATAATATCCATATTTCATCGACACAGGAGAGCACAGAGAGGGGGTTTATTTGTGCAGGGGAGGAGGAGGAGGAGGAGGTGGCCGCGCGGTAACGGTGGCCGTCCAGGTCGCCTATAAATGTTTTCGCGTTTGGTGACAGCTGAGCCCGCTGAGCCCGTTTGACGAATATGCACGAGTCAAATTGAATATTGACGTTTTATTCCGCCGCCGTACAGTAACACAGCGATGTGGACGGGAATGAATGATGAAGCTGTGGCTGGCTGGAGCGCACGACAGCCTGTTGTGCATCCGCTTGTGTTTATCATTAATGTCTTTAATACCTGAGAGCCACAGAGACACAATCCAACAGACCCACAGCCTCCAGCCTGTGCACGCTGCTGGCTCTGTACCCTGCTCTGTGCTTAACATTGATGTGCTCAAGTTTGGTGTGAACGGGGGCGGCGGCGAAGTGAGATGCAGACAGGGTTTTGAATAACGTGTCCACATCGTAATCAAGGAAACGCACACACACACGTGCGCGCCCGCCTGCACGCACACACAGCCTACATGTATTTACTTTTTGGGTGACTTTATAAACAACACTGTGCATTAATGAGTGTGACATGGTCCCATATTGCATGTGTGATGCAGGAGAGTCTCTCTCTAATGAGCCATATGATCATCATCATTATCATCCTTCCTCTGTGTTCGCCTTTCACCATCATGTTTGCCATTTGCGTTCATCATCATCATCATTATCATCATCACTATGATTTTGGCTGTGTCACTTGCCCTAAAGGGCCAATCTGCATGTCACCGCCTCTGTTTCAAAACACACACAGGGCTGAACTGTTAAAAACCTCAGTGTCTTCCCACAGTAAGAAAGAAAAGAGGAACCAAGAAGGAGAAGTGGCTGTCATCAACTGAAAGAGTGCGATGGATGAGGAAGAAGAGAATAATAGTCGAAGAAGAGTTCAGAACTGTTTATGTGTTCCATAACTTCCAGCAAAGGGAGCCGCCAGCCCCCCACCCACCCTCCCAAAAAACTCCAGCGAGCTTTTCTCTCCTAATCAATAATTCATTCCTCCATCTTTTCCAGAGTTGGCCCTGGATAGAGAGATCTGCAAGAGGACGAGTGTGGCGTCCCGGAGCCTGCTGTCCCATTCGTCATCCTCTCCTCTCTTCCTCTACTCAGCCAAGCTTTCACCTCGCCAAACTCCACTCTTCTTCTCCTCTTTTTTTAATTCCTCCTCCTCCTCTGCAACTGGCAAACTTTCCATCCATTTCTTTCACACTTGTGTCTTCTCTCTGCTTCTCTGTCCTGTTTTTTTTTTCTCTCATCCTCCCTCTCTGTTCCTTTTGCTTTCGACTGTGAGCTCGGCTCGTCATGGCGTCTAAACTGAACCCCAACGTCCTGTACGTGGCGGAGCACGGCGAGCCGCTGGGGTCACCTCAGGCGGACTCTGAAAGGACCCACATTGTAAGTCCTGCTTAATCTGTGTTTAACTCTGATGTAAAGATATGGCTTATTATCTGTCATTAAACCTCACAGGTTTAGTTTCTAAGTGCAAACAATGGGCACAGGTTTCACTGCTACATACAGTAAGCGGTGACGGCTCTATGGTGCCAGATTTCCTCCACATATCTATGAAACTTGCAAGGACATGGGAAGTAGGATTTTATGATTTTTTTGACACTGTATTGCAAAATCTCAGAATTATTTAAGATATCTATTAAAATATATTTACCAAAAGCCTCTTGCGTTAACGTTACGCATATCAGGATAGTGGTACCAACAACATATTTTGTTTCCGTCCCAGGGTGTCTACAGGTCCTTAAAAAGTCTTAAAATGTCTTTAAATTAAGTTTTCCAAATATAAGGCCTTAAAAAGTGGGAAATTATCTTTATTAAGTTTTTATTATAAAGCCTTAAAAAGCCTTAAACTGTGTTAAATTAAGTTTTCTCTTAATAAAATGCCATAACATGTCTTAAAAGACCTTAAAAAGTCTTAGAATGTCTTAAATTAAGTTTTCTTAATGTAAGGGCTTAACAAGTCTTTAATTATCTTAAATTCAGTTTTCTTTATATAAAGCCTTTAGAAGTCTTAAACTGTTAACTTACATTTTCTCTTAATATAAGGTCTTAAAAAGTCTTAAATTGTCTTTTATTAAGTTTTCTCTTAATATAAGGCTTTAATAAGTCTTAAATTGTCTTTAATTAAGTTTTCTTGATATAAGGCCTTAAAAAGTCTTAAATTGTCTTTAATTAAGTTTTCTCTTAATATAAGGCCTTAAAAAGTCTTAAATTCTCTTAAATTAAGTTTTTTTTATATAAGGCCTTAACAAGCCTTAAATTGTCTTTAATTAAGTTTTCTTGATATAAGGCCTTAAAAGTCTTAAATTGTATTAAATTCAGATTCGATGGATCTGAAATATTTTACATTACCGTGAAAATTCCTCCAGCCTGACAGACCCAATGACTGTTTACAATCATTGGACAGACCGAAGAATTGCAATTATAAATTTATTGCATTTATGACTCACCCAATTGTTGTCATTTTTTCTTACTGTTAATTTTAAACTGACATCAGTGTATTTACTTGGAAAGAGTACTTACATGTGTGTCTCACACACACACACACACACACACACACACATATATAATGTGTATTTCCATTGCAGGTTTGGTCTTAAATTTCATAAGGTGGTATTAAAAAGGTCTTTAAAAGTCTCAAATTTAACTTGGTTATATCTGTAGACACCCTGCGGCCGGGATGCTCAGAACAGAGGATCCGCTGACTGCTCGCTAGCTATCACTGTACCCTGGACGACTTGGGAAAGAGCAAATTCAACGAAAATAGTCTATTTAACCAAGATTTCGTGGCATGGCTGAAACCAGTACAAAGCTCTTGTATTTTATGCAAAAGTTTTTCTTTTTTGTCACCTAAATCATTATTAAAGCAATTTTTGTGACACTGACATGTCGGTTACAACAGCATTACAGAATAACTGAAAAGTAACAAGAGCTAACAAAACAAAAACTGGTTGGGTAAATACACATGTTTACAGCCATAAGGATTAGCGTCTATTGATTGTTATTCCAGTCCAGTGTCGTCTTTTTGAGTCTTGTTTTCTTTACAGTTGTGCTTCTTGTAGTCTCAGTATGTGTCAGTTTCTCCATTAAAAAGAGTTCTTCCCCAATTGTTAGCCGTTGGTTCTTTGTTGGTTGTGGTCTTTACCCCAGTTCCTAGTGATAGCTTTCTTGCTTGCTACTAGCAATATCTGATCAAATATCTATCACTAGCAATAACATGTTCTTCAGAAAATTTACAGAGATAAAGCACCAAACAACTATTAGGAACCTCATATCCTAGTATGTGCTCAGTTACATTTATTTCCTGACATTTCCCAAAAACATGAGAGTGGTCTCCATCAAAAGACCCAATGCATAAGTTTTTCAAACTCAACACAGTGCGAATCAAGGCAGAAGAATCCCTGAAAAACACAAAATTGCTATGTCATGTTTTATGTTACAACAAACATTTGGAAAATGTGTCCCTTACCTTATAATGTTGGTTATTGTTTTTAGTTTCTTTAATTTTGTTATTATAAAATTGGTGTTAAACTAAATTCCAGGTGGCATTAAAAAAGCCTTAAATCTAGCTTAAATTCAAATTATTATATCTTTGTGAGAATCGGTTTGAGTTTTGTCCCTGATGTCCACAAGACTGTTTTTTTATTTACATGTAAAAATAAATAAGATTCATTTAAATGCCTTTGAAACTGAAAGCACAGCTTCAGTTTAAACTGCGTCTTAACATTGGACATCTAAATCTTTATCATATACAGTACGGCCCCGTTACTATCAGAGTAAGCAGTCAAATCTTCTCAGCAGACAGGAAGTGATAAATCATCAGAACGTAACTCAGTAGTTCACACTGCAAGCATCAGAATGAACAAGTCAAGGTCAAGCAACCAGACGACACTGTTAATGTGTGAACACGCATGTTGGTCAAGAATCTTTCGTGGTTGCTGTGTATTTCTTTGAAAGTACAGTACAAGTGCTGCATGAGTACAAAATGGCGGAGAAGTTGATTTCAGACAATCAGTGATTCCCAATTCTTGGAAGAGTCTTTAGCTTTAGCTGTCACTGATGACACAGAGGTCATGTCCTTGTTTTTTTGTTGTTGAAAATATAGGGACGTAAAGTGCAGTTTGCATTTTGTAAGTAAAAGTCAAAAGTCAGTTTTTGGACAGTGACTCTTTTAATTTGAAAACTGAAAGGGCACAAGAGAAATAGAAGACATACAGAAGCTATTGGAACAATCTGACAGTGAACAGATTTCATCTCTGGTCGAGTAGAGAACAATCTGAGGAAACAGCTGTTAGACCATCATGTTGCTAAACTCTCAAACAGATGACCATTAAACATGCAAGAATATCAAAATTCCTAAAAAATTTGACAAAGGTTTTAAGGGTAAAGCTTTGATTTCTGCCCAAAACTCAATTGGGCCAGACCTGACCTATCGGGTTTGGGCCTAGCCGTAATTTCTCAACTTTACCTCAGGCTTGAATTGAATTGGGTATATCCTCCTGGGACCTGAACTTATGTTTGGCATGCATTTTTAATGACTCTTAGCTATTTGGGATCAGCAGGACCCGCTAAGTAGAAAAAAGGAAACATTGTCAATGATAATAAAGTCCCACTGTCCTCAAATGAGAAGACAATCAATGTCTTTAAACAAGTACTTCCTAATTAACAGTGTCTTAGCCTGTTACTGTTGCTAAAATTGGTCAAATCTGTTGCCATATTAAACTACAAACATTATTAATCATAAATAAACAAGTTTCAACTGTTCAATCTGATCAGGTTTTGGACCTTGTCAACTTTTGTGTCAGGATCAGCTGCAGATTGATTTAGCAGAGATGGCTGCCATCTTGGTTTTACGTGGATTAGTGTATTGTGCTCCTACTACCACTAGATTGTACAGAGAAGTGTCCACAAACAAGGACAACAGGTCTAAGTTAAGTAGAATGAAGGACGAGGTCAAGTAAACCCAAAATGTGATGTCCTCATGTACACACAGGGTCTTAGGAGGATATGCCGACTCTCTATTTGCATATGAATTAACAAATAGCTACGTTTCACTTTCACTGCGCTAGGTGCTCTGCTGCTCCATCTCGACATCTCCTCAGGCAGAGTGTGTAGTGTAATATTTACTATAGTGTTCGTACTGTACCTTTAAACTGACCTTTAAAAGATACGTGTTGAAGCAATATAATCTGTGCAACTGACAAATTACACACTGGTTTAATATTTCATGTATTCTTATGACACACACACACACTCATTGAGCACTTAAGCATTGTGGTGGAAAAGTACCTAGGACTCACTGTGAATCATTTCTAAAAATAGCATGAGGATGGGTTCAGAAAACACTAGTGGAAAGTTAGGGGAATTGCAGTTTGTCCTGATAATGACCCTAGAGGGGGAAGGACTAAAAAAGTGCAAACTCAGCAGAAATGTGACACCGATATGGTGGGAAGGACTAAAAAAGTGCAAACTCAGCAGAAATGTGACACCTTTATGATCAGCACCCAGTGGATAAGTTTAAGGAAAAGAGATTACTCTGCAGAAATTCTACGATAAAAGAGCGAGCGCAAACAAAGAAATTTCAGTCTTGCTCCGGAGCTTGACTCATTGAGTTGTGATGTGTTTGTTGCCTGCGAGCACATTAAACTCAGTTGTATCTGATTCTACGTGTCTCCAGTGATTTTTTTGACCTCTGAGTATTTGAGTTTTTGATATCTAATGGAGGACAAAGAAAGTCCGTTTGAGAAGAGAAGAGCGAGGTCGCGAGCTTTCTGGCACGGCTCGGGACCTTGACTTTTTTGCTTCCACAAGTGCCAGAGCCTCTGTCGCTGGTGCTCTGAATAACGGAAGTATTTCAAAACGCTCTGAATTTGGGATCAGTGCCAGAGTCTGCTATGAAGCTCAGAGTGACTATTTATGGATGTCTCCTTCAACTGAATTTAGCTTGTACTTTTTCGGTGGAAATTCAGGTTTTCAATGTAGCTCAACCCCAAAACTGCTGTCGTGGTCCGGGCTCAGGTAGGGCTTAGACAGAGACTATGCAGGTTCACATAGGGTCGGGCCTGATTTTTTTCCAGCCTGATCAAAGCTCTAGTGGAGGGGCTGCTTGACATTATGACCCCAGTATTTCTAAAATTGTGACCTTGCTTTGAAGTAACTTTATTGAGTCTTGCAAAAGTTCAGATCTTGTAGAACACCAGATCTTAGTCAGTCAGATTTGTCTAAATTTGACCTAGTTGGTGCTAGTTAGCTATTATAAGAGTGTTTTAAAGGTAGTTTGAAAGCAGTAAACAACAAAGTAACCTTGGTAACCACAGATTATTTAACAGATGTAGATGAAGCCAGTTAAACTGCTTTCTCTTAAATCAATGGCTGAACTTTTCCACTACACTTTAAAAATTCAAATTCAGATAGTTTGTTCTTCACAGGACTCCAGATATTATAAATGAGTAATATCTGACAATTATTTAATTCATTCATTTTCTGTAACCACTTATGCTGTTCGGGGTTGCTTGGGTGCTGGAGTCTATCCCAGCTGACATTGGGTGAGAGGCAGGGTACACCCTGGACAGGTCACCAGACTAACACAGGGCTGACACATAGAGACAGACAACCATTCACACCTACAGACAATCAGTCACCAATTAACCTGCATGTCTTTGGACTGTGGGAGGAAGCTGGAGTACCCAGAGAAAACCCACGCCTGACACAGGGAGAACATGCAAACTGTGCACAGAAGGGCTTCCCCACCTTGGGTTCGAACCAGGAACACTCTTGCTGTGAGGTGACAATACTAACTGTGCCGCCGAATTTGAACAAATTTGAATAATTCTTCTGTCTTTTCCCGCTTGTTTTCTAGGCTGGAGAAGCTGGCGAAGAATCATCAGACAGCGATGGGGAACAAGAAGAGACGTCGCACAAGTTGATCCGCAAAGTGTCGACCTCGGGACAGATAAGGGCCAAGGTAGGAAAAGATGGCGTGAAAGAGAACGTGTGTGTGTGTGGAGGTGTGATTTAACCCGTTAAACTCAGTTCCTAGAGAGGTGTTGGGTAATGTCAAGGAATTTTACAAGTAATACTTTCACCATCCTGTTGGCATTCAGCATTTTTTTTTCTTCCATTTTTGCAGCATTGTATCTCTTTTGAGAGCTTTTCTTAACTTTGTACATATTACAACAGGACTTCTTCAAGGTAAAAAGCGACATTAGCAACCCAGGGAGGGATAAATTGTTAAGATTCATGGACGTGCTCTTAACTTATTAACTTAGTTGGGGAAGTCGTGGAATTTTTCATCAGGGCCACGCTGAGACCCTGATTAAACCTTTGAGCTGCTCATTTATTTAAGAGGTAATATTAAGATTTAAACATCTCACCAAAGAATGGGCGTGTGCATTTGGATTTGAAGCCATTTCAAGGACTTCTGCCTTTATCTGAAGCCTTACACTCTGTCACAATGCTTTTTAAAAAACGATTTAATGTGTTTTCTGCATTAGGCAACCTCTTGAAGGATCCATCACGTGATCTGTCTTTTCTGCGTTCGATCCTCCCTCTCAGGTGTAACTTTATCAGCGCTTAAATCAGACCTTAATCTTATCTGATGTGCCTGTGTCTGCTGACTTCCTTCCCATGCCTTGCCCACTTCCTGGCTGCGTCCTTTTCCTCTCTTACCTCCACTGCGATGACGAATTGTGTTCAAATCTCTGATAGCCGATCTGACGTAATCACACAGTAACGGCTCTCTGTCTTATTAGACCTGTGATAGCTGCTTGTTGGCCTCTGCACTGTGCTTTACAGGAAGATATCGATGGTTTGATATCAGCCTCTTACTGGCAAATACACACACACACAAATCTGCCTCATTAGTTATTGATGAGCTAATATCCACAATGAGAAATGCTTTATTTCTAATGCAAACAAACAGATGACAACTGTCCAACTTAATATCATACGTGTGTGTGTGTGTGTGTGTGTGTGTGTGTGTGTGTGTGTGCACTGAAATCATTATCCATTACTGGCATTGACCGTCAACTGTAAATCATATGCCGATCAATAGGAAACACAGTTTACCCATGAACCCCTGTCGTGATGGGGACGACATCCCATCATGCTACTAGTGTTCCTGGAGCAGATAATGGTATTGGATATCAGTCTGGTATTGATCGGCTTATCTCATCGGACACCATTGTAATGTGGTGTTGATGGTGATGTGCATGCCCATATAAGGGCTTAAGAACCCTATAGAGGGTTGCCATGGTTTCAGGTTCTTCAGGCAGGAAGTGGGGAAAGAGAAATACAGGTGAAAGCTGTGACCACATAGTGATAGTTTAACCTTTTATAGTGTCACCTGTGTAGTTGTTTTTCTGTTTATATCAGTCACACAGAAGAAAATTATGATTTTATTTTTTAAATTTTTAAAAACTTTAATAGTCTAAGTTGTAAGCAAGTTGTGAACTATGTAAGTGTAATTGGATCATTCATTCATTTATTCATTCATTAATGAAATAGAAAGGATAAAAAAATAAATGAAAAAAGGAAAGGAAAAAAATACAATAAAAATAAAAAGAAAACCAGACATCAAATTCTTTTTTTTTAAATAATTCCCATTTGTTAGTGTTTTACATATGCATAGTATTTTATTTATATATATATTTTTTAAATGTTTGAAATAAATAATATTCAATTCGATAAGTATTTTTTTTAATAAATGTTGTGTAATCAAATCCTACTAAAAGAAGCATAAAATAAAAAGGACATACACAAAAAATGATTAAAAAAAAATGAATGGAAAGAAAAGAAATAAAAATAAAATGTAAATCAGACATTAAATTATTTTTCTCTTTAAAATATTTTTTGTAAATTTTTTGATTATACATAGTATTTTATTCTATTATTTTATATGTTTTAAATGTTTGAAATGTAGTATATTCAATTGAATACATTTTAAGTATTTTTTTTTATTTTTTGTGTATATATATCTTTTTTTTTACATTTTTGGAGTGTTTAACAAATATATAAAATCATGAAGATTTTTTTAAATAAAAAAAAAAAATTAAAAATAACAATTTATATTCAAAATGTATGATGACATCTTTAAGAAAAAAACTTGAAATTGAGTTCAGATTTTTGAAAATCAAGACACCTAAAATCAGACCAAAATTTGGCAGTAAATTTACACTTGAAAAAGATGAGTAAGTTACTAATTTTCTTTTCTTTTTTTTAATTACAAAAATAGAGTTGACATTAACATCAGTGAACCTTGAAACAAAAACACTAGTGGCATACACTGTATGTTATGTCGGATTTTTAAATGAATTCCTCAAGCATCTAACGATTATTCTCATTGTCAATCTGTCAATTTTTGGGGGATTTTGGCCTATAAAATGTCGGAAAATGGTGAACAAAATGTCGATCAGTGTTTCCCAAAGACCAAAATGACGTCCTCAAATGTCTTGTTTTGTCTATAACCCAAACATATTCAGTTTATTGTCACACAGGAGTAAAAAAACAGAACATATTTACATTTAAGAAGCTGGAATCAGAGAATTTTGACTTGTTTTCCTTAAGAAATTACTCAAACTGATGAATCAATTATGCAGTTACTTGCTGCTCCAATATAGAAAGCATGTTGGAGACAGAAAGTCCAGGAAAGTTTTTATAAAACCAGTATTCAGAGCTCAGTGTCAGTGCGATGATGTCATCAGGCAGCTCCTCTCCTATTGGCTTAAACAAGCAGCTGCCGTTGGGAGAGTCACCATCTGTCAATCAAACCTGACAATGCTATAATTAGTTCTTTGTGTGTGTGTGTTGATTAGACTGTGTGTACCTACAGTCATGTGACTTAGATTAAACTACTCATAGACTCCAGGATTACGCTGTAGTGACAACAATGGCCTGAGCGGATTAGTGTGTTTGTGTATCCCTTTGTTACTGGGGTACACATGGGTGAGTGACGACTTTACTGGTGTGTGTGTGTGTGTGTGTGTTTGTATATTGGGCTCATGTATGTGTTTGTTTGGGGTGTTTTCTGTGTGTGTGCTGCTACAACAGCCTCTCAACCCCCCTCTCATGTGTTGCCTCCCCTTTATTTGGTGTTACTGTACTTGATATCGCGGCAGTCTGTTGGCACACTTGCTAAGAAGGTGCTAATTCTTATCAAGTGTGACATGACATCCTGACACCATTAGATGAATACAGTCCCTCACCCATAAGTCTCTAAATAATTACACAGATGCAGCGATAGCCCTGGGAAGACGAGGCGTGTAATTTCCATGTCACTCTAGAGACATTCGTGTTGGCTGTAATTAAATATCTTTTGGTTTAGAGACAAGCTTTTTGATACTGGGGCGTCAGCAGAATATATTTAACTCACTGAAGTCTCTCCTTGCAGTTAATTCTTTTCGATTTGAGCATAAAAGCCACGACTTCACAGCAGATATTAATTTTTGAGGGGTTTAAGTGGATTTATTGATGCACAAGTTCATTAAACTTGCTTTATTTATTTTTGCTGTGTCATGTTAAGCCTTCAGGAAATGACATTAAAATCCCCAACCCTACCCTGCCCTGCCAGGTGTATGGGAAAGGCACCGTGAATGTTTTGTTGCTGCTGTTTTATAGTCTGTAATTAAAGTGAATGTGACCTCGGAGGTTCGCTAATTGTCCGACTCTGTTCACTTCAGCCTGTGAGCTCCGCCGACTGGATTGGATGTACAGGCAGCTGGGGATTAATTTGCTGTACGTGTGTGTTCTTGTTTTGCTGTCTTTTGTGAGGATCTGTTTGTGGTTTTGACCTGAGGTCTAAAACTGTGTGTGATTGTATGAACTGTGTATGACTATGGTTTTCTTTTTAGTCGTGCACCAGCTTGTTCTGGCAGACATTGTGAGACGTCAACCCTGCCTGCAGGGAAAACAAGACACATGTTACAGCCCTTATGTTTCGTTTTGATATAAAAAGAAAATGCTCATAGGGCCTCGTAAACCACAGTGTCCCCAATGCAAGTCTTTGTTGCATGTCATATCCTCTCTCTCCCCCCATTTCCTGTCTGTTTCTCAACTATATTCTGCCTATTAAACCCACCTGCCCCATAACATGCACAGCTGCTCATACACGTTTTTAGCTGTTCATAATCAAACTTAAAATGCCTTTAAAATAAAGAGAGCAACAGATACTGTGACGTCAGAGCAGCACTGATAGTGTCATTGTTCACAGGCCACTGTAGAAAAAGGAAGTCCGTTTCTAATTTTAGCTATTCAAATCACCAACTACACGACTCATCTAAGAAGTGAAAGAGATAAACTAAACTTTATTTAGCACCATATAGTGTGTGCTATTTACTGTAATGGAAAGGCCTGATCTTAAGAGCCTTTGACTGTTCTCTTTATTTACTGTAATAGTTTAGAGCAGGGGTGTTAAACTCATTTTAGTTCATGGGTCACATACGGTCCACTTCGATCTGAGATGGGCCAGACCAATAAAACCATTGCACAATAAACTATAAGTAACATCAGCTCCAATATTATCCCCTTTTTTGTGTATATAATTACTAGTAGATTCTGTAGGCATTCGTCCTATTACAAAACAGAAGAACAGCCTGGCATGTCTTAAGATGGATAAGTGCATTTCAGCTAGGTCGAAGCTAGGCGATAAAATGATAAAATGTATGTTGATGACGATGATACACTATAGTCAGGATAGACCTAGATAGATCCAAACAGCGGGTCATGGAGCAGAAGTTAACAGACAGCTGTCAGTCAATCTGCACTCATTTGTACATGCCCATTTTTCACTGCAAAGTTTACGCTGAGGTGTGTGTGCCGATGTTAGGGGGAATCGAAAGTAGCGTGGACACAACAAAAAGAGGGGAAAATGAGTGGAAGTGAGGAGCAAAGCGGTGGTGAAGCTGAAGAAGAGCTTGTGTTATCCTCAAAAAATGGACGTAATTCTGGATAAAAAAGGTTACACAACGT